ACTAGAATCCTTTGAAACAATGCAGCAATGTATGAAATGCCTCAGAAATAGCAAAGCACTTCGCCTTCAATAAATCCGGGAGACACAATAAAGCACTTTGAGTTTGGGGGACTGCTGCAGCAACAAATTGCCTTTTGTGAAACACTCAGGGATATAGTATTCGTCAGGTTGAAATAAGTTTTGTAAAAGCAAGTGAAGCATTATGTTGTGCCCCCTGTTCAGAAATGTTACATACATTAATACAGTATGCAGTATTTGACCAAAACAGTAATGCACTTAAGCTCCAGCACAGACATTTATTGGACCTTGCCTTGTCTTTCTCGCCAATTATCTTTTTGTAACTTCGTTCTAAAAGTCCCCTTTGATAATAAAAGGTTGACCATCTTCACCTTGTTTTCTGAACCTAGTGTTCACTTTCATGGTTCACAGATATAAATGAATGGGGAGGGAACACTATGATTAATACACTATACAATTTAAACCACCCTCCCTTCATGTGTGCTTATTATTTCTGACGGTTGAAAACAATTATTAATGAAAGTATATAAGACATGCATCAGAAAGAAAGAAAGAAAGAAAGGAAGGAAGTGGTAGCAGTCCGTTCCTGAGGGTTGCTTCCCTTCCCAATGTGTTGGATTTTCCACGCCATAAAACCCAGTCAGAGTCTGTTAGGAGCTCCATCATGCAGCACATGTTGCATCATATTCCTCTAGCCAAGTACCTGTCTTCTTGTCACGCTGTGAGTAACAGCTCAGGAGTTCATGAAGCTCAACGCAATACACTTTCTACTGTCAGTGAGGAGACTTGTGTCAGTCAAGAGGAAGATCAAGCACGTGGAGTCTGAGAGAAAACACCAAACTAATGCAGTCAGCTTACTCCCATCGGTTTATTGATCACCCCGAGGGAAAGTATGCTAATGAAGATACATATGATCCCCTGCCATTAAGAACTAGAGGGGCGTTTGCAACTAAATAAATATTATTAAAACTCAATCAAATGTAGCACGCTGCTACACATCAAACAGCTCCTACATGTATTTAAGAAACATGGAATATAACTTTAACGGATACTCACAGCAGCTTTTGTAGACTTACAGAATCAGTTTGACTGACCCGAAACTGTCGTAGCGAGTCGGGGGGAGCTGACTGACGACCGACAGGGTCTGCCACTCTCAGCTTTACTGGGGATCTTTAATGCAATATGGAGATTAGAGGAAGTGATTTTCAGTGCTGCTGGAGATACCCAGAGACAGGGATCAATAATGAAAGTAAGCATACATAAACCATTGAGGCATTGACTGGGCCAATTGAGCATCGGTCGCATGTCTTTTTCTTTTTTTGATGTATTTTATTGGGCTTCTACCAAGAGTGGAAGTTTAATACATTTGGCCAAAATGATGTTAGCTCTTATTAGATTAGATTCAGTAGACACTTGCACTGAAAAAATGACTCAATTAAAGAAGCCCTTTAAAGAGCCTTACTCCCTCCGAATCAAATACTATTAGGTTTGATAGCCGGCAGCTAGGGAGTCTAATAGTGACAAGCACATTGGCCGAAAGCCAACACCTTGGCCTCCCTGAGCAGAGACACCAAGATGGCTCGACACGAGAGGGAGAATGGAGATATTCAGAGTTTAAGCCTCTGTAGACCTCCCTGCGGACCAGCTCACACTGCACCCGATCCTCACATCACTTTGGTTCAGTGGAGCAGAAAGGTGACTGAGACAGGATATGGTCATCCGGGCAAGAAGGAGCCCAGTCTGAGCATGCAGAGATTTGTGCAAACGCAGTGCAAATTAAGCTTTTTTTCATGGAGCTTCTAGCCAGTATAAACATTTTTTATGCTGCAGTTGGTTTAGGGGCAAGAAGTAGGACAAAATGTTAGTAAAACTAAAAGCAAAGATAAAGAGGAGGGAATTCTACCAGGGATGAAGAGGAGACAAAAAGAAAGTCAAGATGTAGTTAATAATGCATGGAGTTCTCAGAAACAGCAGCTTTACTTGCCATTCGCCCGGGGAAAAATTATAGAAGAGGCAAAGATCCACTAAGGAAAAAAAGGCTGTTTGGACCAAAGGACTCTCTTGCTTTAGATTTGCTTAATATATGTGTCCATGTAAGAATTAGTCTTAGCACTTATATGGCTCTGCACAGCGGGAAAATAATGTTTTATCTCTAAATGTCTGCAAATCATAGAACACATCTATCATTTCAAGATGCTGCAGTGTTTGTTTACAAAAAGCTTTTTGTTTTCATCAAAACATATTCTCATAAAGATTTCTCCTTTTTTTTTTGCAAAACAACGTCACTCACTTCGAATACAATCTCAGATAAATACATCAAAACACAACAGCAGCCTAACTGGAACTGTGATTTGCATATCTGTTAGATTTGCTCCTCTTGCTTGTGCATGCATTCTGACAGCCAAGCCGTTCGATGTGGCCCAATCAAACAGAATTTGCATGAGGCAGATATTGTGTACACATCACATCACACGTTCATGTGGCCTTTCATAAAAGAAGAAATTGACACAGTGAGCTGAGTGAAAACAGATACTGTATGAATATTTTACAAATAAGTTATTTTGTTTTAAGAGGAAACTCAATCTAGGAGGCTCGGCAGCACTTTATATTATTTAGATTTACGTTTTACTTCATCACTAAATAGTTAATATAATATACCAGTTGTAAACCCCAACATACGGGATGCATGATAAGTTCTGAGGGTCCGAAAAACAAATGAACAAACACATTTTTTACCGTAAAAAACTGAATACTAAGATCTTTTAAAAGATGCAGTTGCTGGTGCTGTTAAATGCAAAGAATGATACATATAACAAAATTATAGAAAGACCTGTCTGTGTAATGACTTACAGATCGACAGCAACACAAACTGCACCCTTTCAAAATGATACAGAACAAAACCAAACAATATAACGTTTATGTAGGGCGGATTTCAGCAGTGTTGTTTTGTTCTGCATTAGTGTTAGCTAAGTTTACCTAATAAAGTGGCACCTAAGTGTAGTTGATCTTAAGTATATCATCTATTTATTCTCCTGTGTACAGAGGTATTTCAGAATTGTATTTGAAAGGCTAGACAGACTCAGCTAGTCAGCCATGATGTGATTTGATAAGCATCTTCAACCCTGCCACACCCTCCTCTTGTTTTACCTCTCTTGTATACAGTGATGCCCTCTAGATAAACTGACCATACATAAAGCCCTGCACGGCATGCTTTTAGATTAATACAAGGGCAGTATTATATTTGAAAATCACGACTAATACGTTTGACTTTCCAGCGTCTGAATACAAATTATGTAACACATAAATTCTGCCTGGATGGCCCTCCCTGTTCGCGATATAAAACATCAAATACAGATCAGCAGCACTCCAAAAGCACTCAGTTAGCAAAGATGTTTCCAGGGTTTCACTTGTATAAAGCACAATATCCATTAGGGGCGTGCAACCCTTTAACAGTAATGTGTCCTTATCAACACTGTATTAAGCCAACATGAACATTCAAACTAACTGCATTATTAATAAAAAGGGTGCAAAGAGGAGGAAAGGAACATCAGCAAAGACAACAACAAATCCACAGCGCAGGATACTCTTGTTCATCCTCTTAAATACCTCTACGTATCAAATGTTAATAATAAATCCCAAAAAATGAAATCCTGCACCACTGATTATTAAGAAGCACGTGTGAAAGGAGAATGCAGCTTCCAGGATATGACTGACGTGTTTCCATTATTAGCAACACAAAGCGCTGTCTTGGCTGGGCTATTTTTGATGACACACACTTTGAAACTGCACTCAGACACTTCTCTCTGCAGGTGGTAATGAAGGGAAACACAGGGAAATAAAAGCGATGTGGCAAAGCCAATGTATGGGATGCAATTCTAAAGGCAGTTATATTTTGATGTCTGCCCTGGGCTCGCTTCATTAGCCATCATAACACTGTGTGAGATGTGCATATAGGCATCAAAGGCATTGACTAAGTTCTCACAGCACGACTCTATGAGGAGCGATACCAGGCCAGATGAGGGAGGAGGCACCAGACACTTTCATTCTGGAAGCAAGTCAATCACTGCCCCTCTTTCCTCCCCAGGGAAATATGTATTCTGACCATGTGCATTACATAATAAGATATCAGTGGAAGTATGCTTCATTTGCAGCGCTCCAAGGTTGTGTTCAATGTTCCTGCGGCTCTGACTATGATGATAGATTCAGTTTTCAATAATTCAGCTATCAGTCTGAGCTCTGAGAGTAGCTCTGATAGTGTCTCTGCCTGTCAGACTCAACCTCGCTAATACCGTGCACCTGCATTATGAATACATTTCAGCTAGCATCTGTCATACTGTTGATACAAAATGACAGTAAAGAAATCTGGATTTGCTACTTTCTAATTCAATGAAATTGGTAAATGAGATGTTCTTTGCTAACAAACCTTTAAAACTGTAAACACAACAACAAATACAGCATTTCTGATTTATCTTTCTGCATCAAGTCCTAAAAAGTGCACCCTTTATCACAATGCGACCCTTAGCCAAGCTTAGCCACAGCCCCAAGTTCAACCTAAAAAAAATCTGAAAAAACATGCCTTTGTAGCTCCCCCCTTCAAATAAAAATAGTTGCCTGCACAAGTTCATGTATCCAACCTTTTTCTCAGCAACTTCCAAGCCAACAGAAACATCAACAACAATCACAATATAAATAAATAATAATGTCTCCCTATACATTAGCATGCACATCTTCCCACGAATAACCCAGTTTTTCTGTTTTACCCCCAAATAAACTCTGTTTTGTCGCAGCAGCAGCAGCACAGAGAGATTTAAGCCATGATCCTCTTATCTTTTTTTGTACCTTCAAAAGATGTTTGTTGCACCTCAGTTTTAGCTAAATTAAACTGGCAATGCTGAGGGTGGAGATCAGTTCCGCTGACATGCGGGACACGCAGCAGTCGAATGATTTGTCAGGAGGCACGAGGTGTAATTGCGGCTACTCACTGGCGTGCATGAGCTGTCCCTGGCGTCCAAACACCTGGGAGAAGGTGGCATGGCTGCAGGTGAGGGTGTCCTCCATGGCTGTCCCACTGGCACACGCTGAGGAGAGAGGAAGGGGATAAAGGAAGGTCAGCAACACTGCGTCACATCAAGACGGAAAAAGAGCAGAGGATGAGGGAGGAAAAAGAAGAGGGAGAAGAGGGGGGTGGGGCTTGCCTTCAGTTGTAGAAGCTGGTGTGTGATCTCTGGTGATGACTGCTTTCCTCTGGACCCGTCCTGCTGCTGCTGCTGCTGCTGCTGCTGCTGGTGAGCCAAATACAGCCCCTCGCTGCTCACACCAATATGAGCAGAATTGCTCGCTGCACAGATAATGGGAGGGGGTGTGCCTGCCTGCGTGTCAGCATGTAAGTGTGTGTGCGCAACAGAAAGTTCTCTGAATGTGTGCCTGTGAGAGCATTTTGGTGTGTGTGTGTGTGTGTGTGTGTGTGTGTGTGTGTGTGTGTGTGTGTGTGTGTGTGTGTGTGTGTGTGTGTGTGTGTGTGTGTGTGTGAGGGAGAGTAATGTAGTGGAGCAGGCAGCTGGGCTGTAGGCACAGTTTCTGATCTTGTGCTTTGTCTGTGCAGGCTGACAGTCCTCTGCGGCTCCAGACAGGCTGGGTTGAAGGGGAAGAGCAAATAAGAGGGGAAGACAGGGGTGAGCACAGTGACTATGGAAGTTAAAAGTCAATCGTCCCTCCTCCCCCCTCACTCTGAGTGTGAGTACACAGCAGCGTTTGTGCCCTGGGAGGAGGACAGGACTGTTCTTTTCTGGTAGGTGTTACTATGTCCCCTTTTCTCTCCTCCCTCTCTTCAGCCCTCATTTGCAGAGCCTCAGCAGTAACATCTCTCTCTGCCTCTCCTGTTCTCCCTCAGATCTCTTACTCTCTCCACCCCACCCCATGCAAATCCCCTCGATCCATCTTAAGGCTCGGGCCGCTGCTGGGAAACAGATTCTAGCAAACTCGAGTGCTTCATCTTCCCCCTGTGCTGAGGGAAAAAAAGGAGGATGAGAAAGTGGAGAGGTTGAATAGAAAGGGGAAAGTAGGGCTGGTAGTACAGCTGGTGGTTTCCAGAGGCTTCGTCTTGAAAAGGAATTGTATAAAACTGCTGAGTATAAAATAAAAATGTGCTCATACTCAACAGAAAAATAACTCTTGTAAACTGCTACTTGTTTTGCTATGTACCTTAATAGCCACAGTGAAGCAGTAAAAAAAAAAGAGACATACTGGCATGTGTGAAAAAAAACACCACACGGTGCAGCTAAGCGACACACCAAGGTGTAATAAAGGATTAACAGTGACATGAGATCAAATGAGCACATGTTACAAGATCCTAAAATACCCTCCCAGGCCTTGGAGGCACAGTTAGTTATATTGTACCCATTGTGCAGCGGTTGGCATGGAGACCTCTTCTACAGACAAAACTCCAACATATTAGTATCACACTAAAGCCATTGCTGTCTAGTCTCTCTGCAGTGAATACACTTGAGTTAAACAGACAATTTCCTACCAAGCAACAACAAGAAAAAACATTGTCAGGAAGCCCATTGTGATAAAGCCATCTCTCACACCACTGCCCTGCAAGGCGAGCACATCAGGGACTCGACGGCAGCACTCACGTCCTCGCATCACATCCTCCTGTTTTGAAAGGAAATGGCAGGAGACTGGGCGGATGGCTCGGGTATTTGGCTGACTTAAGCAGGTGGGTCTGCAGGTGAAAAGATAACAGCAATACAGGAAAACCATACCCCCTATGTATTGACAGCATAAAAGCAAAAATAACTGACATTGATGTGTTTCACAATGTCCAAAGCAGTTAAAAAAAAGAGCATGACGTTGAATACAAACATGATGAAAAAGCAGAATGCTAAGGTCAAACTGAAGCCAGTTTTAACAAGGAGAAGTCTTGATACTTCACTTTCAAGTCTGAGAGATGAATGCCCAACAGAATGAATCTCCTCTCCGTCTTCATTAGCTTTAATGACATTCTCTTTGAACAGGAAGTAGAGGCAGGAATTAGGTTTTTTTGGAGGCTGTATATTGTCATGTATCAGCAGCTGTCTCTCCCTCCGACTCTGTCTCCCATCACTGGCGGCTATCTTTCTGTAGAAGACAAATAACTTTATAATTTAAAGCCACTGATCAAGTATGATCAAGATGCCTTTTTCAAATATATATTTTGTTGCAATAAAATAAAAACACTCGCTTATTTTCGAGGTGATTAATCGATTAATTGATAGACAGAAACAATTATGAGGCATCCATTTTCAATAAATGTCTGAATAATTAAGATCATTTGCAGACCACAATGCCTCCAAAGAATCCAGTCTCTTCAACGTAAGGACTGTTTTACATTTATTGAGTTTTGGTCGGACAAAGCAAGGAAACATTTTTTATTTCACAATTGTTTTATATACTGTATATCGACATAACAATCTGCAGATTAATAAGATAAAAAGAACAATTGAAAATAATCTATTATAAATGACATTGCACAGAGGCTAAATATCCTTTGGCATAAGGGACTTAATGTAATCAAATTAGAAAACAAATTAGCACTGTAAACATTACAGCAGCGTGTCACCATGTTAGCTGTTGTTAGCATTTAGCTCAACACACTGTTGTGTCTTAATACAGAGCAGCATGCATGACTGTAAACCGTCATGTTTAGAGACGTCAACTGGGTTTTAATGTTTCATTTAACTTCAGGAGCCACTTACCCCTCCGGACTGTCATTGTTTTTCAACCTGCTGCATTAAAAAGTCAATATGAAAACCATGACACCCCTGTTGGTGGGTGGGGTTGCCGTTGCTGACCCACCTCACCGATCAGTGAGAGACCCCGGATGTAGCCTATAGTGAGACAGGCTGAACAATGAGAAAACCAGAGAGAGAAAAAGCCCTGCTCTTTAACCTGGTGTTGAGTCACTCTTCATGAAGAACAGGTATTTTCCCAACTTGTAGTTAATAGTAGTTGATCCAACTATTTAACATTTTTAGGTGCATTAGGTTTTCAGTAAACAATATCTTGATAATCAGAAATAAAGTGATTCGCAAAATACAGTAATGTCCAGTGTTGTAATGTAATATTTACTCAAGAACAGTAGCCTAGAAAATATAGGTAGGCTACCAAGTAGCTTACTTTGACATAATACTACTTTAAACTTTTACTTCACTACATTTTGAATAGTGTTAGTGTTAGGGCGTTGGAAGGAATACTTTGAGGAACCGACAACTCCGCCCTCTATGTCAGAGGCAGAGCTGGAGTATGACGGGGGATCAACACCAATCTCCCGGGGGGAGGTCACTGAGGTCGTCAAACAACTTCACAGTGGCAAAGCCCCGGGGGTGGATGAGATCCGCCCAGAAATGCTGAAGGCTCTGGGTGTTGAGGGACTGTCATGGTTGACACGTCTCATCAACGTTGCGTGGAAGTCGGAAACAGTAGCCTACCGAAGGAGTGGCAGACCGGGGTGGTGGTTCCCCTTTTTAAAAAGGGGGATCAGAGGGTGTGTGCCAATTACAGAGGCATCACACTACTCAGCCTCCCCAGGAAAGTTTACTCTAAGGTACTCGAAAGGAGGGTCAGGCCGATTGTCGAACCTCAGATTGAGGAGGAACAATGCGGATTCCGTCCTGGTCGTGGAACGACGGATCAGCTTTTTACTCTCGCAAGGATCCTGGAGGGGGCCTGGGAGTAGGCCTATGCTTGTCCAGTCTACATGTTTTTTGTAGACTTGGAGAAGGTGTATGACCGGGTTCCACAGGGAGTTACTGTGGGAAGTGCTGCGGGAGTTTGGGGTGAGGGGGTCTCTACTCAGGGCCATCCAATTTCTGTACTCCCAAAGCGAGAGCTGTGTCCGGGTCCTCGGCAGTAAGTCGGACCCATTTCCGGTAAGGGTTGGCCTCGTTGGCCTCCGCCAAGGCTGCGCTTTGTCACCAATCCTGTTTGTAATATACATGGATCGGATTTCGAGGCGTAGTCGTGGGGGAGGGGGTCTGCAGTTCGGTGGACTAAGGATTGCACCACTGCTTTTTGCAGATGATGTGGTTATGATGGCTTCATTGGTCTGCGACCTTCAGCTCTCACTGGATCGTTTCGCAACCGAGTGTGAAGCGGCTGGGATGAGGATCAGCACCTCCAAATCTGAGGCCATGGTTCTCAGCAGGAAACCGATGCACTGTCCACTCCGAGTAGGGAATGAGTCCTTACCCCAAGTGAAGGAGTTCAAGTATCTCGGGGTCTTGTTCTCGAGTGAGGGAACAATGGAGCGTGAGATGGGTCGGAGAATCGGAGCAGCGGGAGCGGTACTGCAGTCGCTTTACCGCACCGTTGAGACGAAAAGGGAGCTGAGCCAGAAGGCAAAGCTCTCTGTCTACTGGGCCATTTTTGTTCCGACCCTCACCTATGGTCATGAAGGATGGGTCATGACCGAAAGAACAAGGGTACAAGCGGCCGAGATGGGTTTTCTCCGCAGGGGGGCTGGTGTCTCCCTTAGGGATAAGGTGAGAAGTTCGGTCATCCGGGAGGGACTCGGAGTTGAACCGCTCCTCCTTCGCGTCGAAAGGAGCCAGTTGAGGTGGTTCGGGCACCTAGTTAGGATGCCACCTGGGCGCCTCCCTAGGGAGGTGTTCCAGGCACGTCCAGCTGGGAAGAGACCAAGGGGTAGACCTAGGACCAGGTGGAGGGATTATATCTCTTCGCTGGCCTGGGAGCGCCTTGGGATCCCCCAGTCAGAGCTGGTTGATGTGGCCAGGGAAAAGAAAGCTTGGGGCTCTCTGCTGGAACTGCTACCTCCGCGACCCGACCACGGATAAGCGGGGGAAGATGGATGGATGGACATTTTGAATACAATATTGTACCAACTCCACTACATTTATTTTACATAAAGTTACTAGTTACTTTGCAGATTTAGATTATTAATACAAAATATAAATCAACACACATTATTATATTATTATAGGTTAAACCTCGCAATTGTGTAGTAATTCAAATATATAAATAAACCCCAACTTTACCAAGTGCAACAATGAAGTGATGAACACATTAATGCACCAATCATTTAAAAATATCTGGTGCTTAAAATGGCCATTTTGCATAACGCATCCTTTTACTTTTGCTAATTAAAGTATATTCTTGTGCTAATATATTTTTTACTTAAATACAATTTTGAATGCAGGAATTGTACCTCCTTGTACTAGTATGTTTACACTGTAGTATTGCTACTGTTACTTAAGTAAATAATCCGAGTACTTCTTCCACC